GAAAAATACAACAAAACTACTGTATGAAGATTCTCAATTTAAGAATTCGACGACTTAACATAGAGATTATAAACCTAAAGGACGAGATAGAGGGCCTTAAGCACAAACTGGAATTGGCAGTCTCACCAGAGTTTTTTCAGAGGATTTGGACGTTCACGGAAACTGCCCAACTGAACCATCACAAGAAGGCCAAAGAACGTCAGATAGGCAAATTTCTAAAACTCCAAAACCATAATTCTTTTCAACATTCTAAAAGTGAAATTGGACAAGGCTTGGACATTGGGTCAAAAATCTGTCTGATCGGCATTTATCACAAGCGGAAAAAGATGTTCTTACTAAAGGCCTAAATTTTGCAATAACCCCAAAAGATATTCCTACAATTGAATACATCACAGCAGCAGAAGCAGCCATTAGAAACAACAAACTAACTGAGAGTGAGGCAGGGGCCCTCAGACTGAGAGTCTCTGCCACACTCAAAAGTGCGAAGCCCCCACAATCCAATGTCTCATTAGATGAGCAAAAAGCATTATTGGCATTACAAAAGGATGAGAGTATAACTATTTTACCAGCTGACAAAGGCAGATGCACAGTTATCCTCAACAGCTCAGACTATGAGGCCAAAGTTAATCAGGTACTCTTGGACACCAACACGTACCAGCCATTGAAGAGGGACCCTACCAGTGGGTTTAGGAAAAAGATTATAGACTTCCTTCAGAACTTAATGAAAGAGGGCATTATTGAAAAACCACTATATTACAAACTTTACCCAGGAGACACCATCCCCAGTATTTATGGCCTCCCAAAAATACACAAACAAAACTTTCCACTTTGGCCTATTGTATGTAGCATAGACTCTATCACCTACAACCTGGCTAAACACCTCAAAACCATTCTGGCTCCTTTGGTGGGTAACACCCACCATCACATAGAAAACACAAAAGAATTTGTAAATAAAATCAAACACCTCCAGTTTGACACAGATGAGACAATGGTCTCGTTTGATGTGACATCGCTTTTTACGTCGGTCCCTATTACAGAGGCGGTGGAGGCTGTAAGAGAAAGCCTACAGAAAGACGCCACACTAGGGGGGAGAACAAAACTAACAGCTGACCACATCTGTGAAATACTTGAAATGTGTCTTAACACCACGTATTTCCAATTTAGAGGCACCTTCTTTAGACAGATTCATGGCTGTGCGATGGGCTACCCAGTCTCTCCTATAGTGGCCAATCTGTATATGGAGAAACTGGAGGAACAAGCCCTGGGCTCTTACCAAGGGACAGCGCCAAGCCATTGGTTTCGATATGTAGACGATACGTGGGTTAAGTTAAAGAAACAGGAAGTGGAACCATTTTCAGCACACATTAACTCGGTGAACCCTTTTATAAATTTCACTCGCGAGGATGCTAAGGAGAGTGAACTCGCCTTTCTAGATTGTAAGGTCATCATACTGGAGAACGGACAATTAGAGACTGAGGTCTTCAGAAAGTCCACTCACACTGACCAGTACCTGGCCTTTGATTCAAACCATCCGCTACAACACAAACTCGGGGTCATTAGAACGCTTCAACACCGAGCCCACCAGGTCCCCACTAGCTCGGAGGGAAAGAACAGAGAAACCAAACATGTTCAGAGAGCACTTTCCAGATGTGGCTACCCCAAGTGGTCTTTTACTAAAGCCCAAAGGACGAGAAAGGCCAGAGACACAGTCCAACAGACAGAAGAAAGTAGGAGGAGAGGGGTGTCCTTACCGTATGTGGCGGGAGTTTCAGAGAAACTACAAAGAATCTTTAGGCAACACAAAATCCCTGTGTATTTCAAACCTTTCAACACGTTAAGACAGAAATTAGTGCATCCCAAAGACAAAACACCCAGACACAAACAGAGCAATGTGGTGTATTCAATTAAATGTAAGTGAAGAGGAGTGCACTGACCACTATATTGGAGAAACCAAACAAACTCTACAGAAACGACTTTACCAACATCGTAGAGAAAACTCTAGTGGGCCACAGTCGGCTGTTCATCTCCACCTCAAGGCCTCCAACCACACGGTGGAGGACACAGAGGTTAAAATTCTGGCTCGGGAGAAGAATTGGTTTGAGAGAGGGGTGAAAGAAGCCATTTTTGTGAGGAAACAGAAACCTTCTCTTAACAGAGGAGGAGGGTTAAGATTTGTTTTGCCTCGCATCTATGACGACATCCTAAAAACAACGCCCTAACTTGGGACAAGGTCAGTGACATGCTAATGAGTTAGGAGGGGTGAAACCTGCACTCCACTTGAGCATCCCAGCAGACAATAGGTCTGTGACATGCTAAGGAGTTAGGGTCGTTAGCCTCAGCAGGGTCGTTAGACCTGCTCCCTTCTACATCAAGCAGACCTGAGATTGTTTACGAGTTAGTATCAGGATTAGGGTGTGGCTTACCACACCCATAGGTTATAAATCTCCAACGCGCGGTCCGAGAATTCATTCCCTGAAGAAGTCCCCAGGTTGAGGACGAAACGTCGGGAAAACTTGCTAAGAAGTACAGATGATGGGTGAGAAACCTTCCTTCACATTATCTATGGCATCCTGGACCTTGTCCACCAAGTGCTCAATATTTCTTCCTTTTTTCCATAATGCACCATCATCAGCAAACAGAGATCTACCAATTCCTTCAGGTATATCAGAAAAAACATCATTAATCATTATGATAAAAAGAAGAGGACTGATCGCACTACCCTGTGGCGTTCCATTCTCAACCACATGCTGGGTAGAGAAAGTAGACCCAATCCTAACTTGGATTTTCCTGCCAGAAAGGAAGTCTCGGATCCAATTGAACATCCTTCCACCAACACCCAACGTGTGCAGTTTGATTAAAAGCCCATCCCGCCACAACATATCATATGCTTTTTCTATGTCAAAAAACACCGCCACAACAGACTCTTTATTAGCTTGAGCTTTTCTAACTACATTTTCAAGCCTAATCACCGCATCCATTGTGTTTCGAGCTCTCCTAAAACCAATTGAAAATTTGCTAACGCCCCTTTCCTTTCCAACTCAAAGGACAATCTTTCAGTTATCATACGTTCCATCAGCTTACACAAATTTGATGTGAGGGCGATTGGCCTGTAGCTACCTGGTTTGGATGGATCCTTCCCAGGTTTCCGGATTGGCACAATAACAGCCTCTTTCCTTTGGGAGCTCTCCATTTACCCACACTTTGTTTATTAGAACCAACAGTTTTTTAAGCGCTTCCACACCAAGGTTCTTCAACATCAAATAGCAAATTCGGTCTTTCCCGTGGGCTGTAGATTTTGTAGTCTTAAGAGCTCTTATCATTTCTTCCAGGGAAAATTTTGCATCTAACCCCAGGTCAGTACAGGTCTTCACTCCTAGGGCCTCTCGATACTGTGCCTTAGTCTGACAGATTCTGCCTCTTCCCAATACTGTTAAGTTTTCAGAACTGTGGACCTTAGCAAACGCTTTCACCATGACCTCTACTTTCTCCTGGTCTGTTACAAAGGTTTGTTGGTCTGAGATAAGAACTGGGTAATCCCATTCTTGCCGGTCACCTCCCATCCTCCTGATCATGCCCCACACATCCCCTACTGAAATGGTTCTACCTATTTTAGAACAGAGCGCTCTCCAACTTTCCCGCTTTGCTTGTCTCACAGTTCTCCTGACTACTGCCACCGCTTTCCTGTAAGCAACAAGATTTTGCATGTTTAGGGTTCTTTTTAAGAGTTTAAAGGCACGATTTCTTTCCTTTACAGCTTTTTTACACTTTTCTGTCCACCAGGGTACCAAGACTCTACTTACCCTTACTTGTTGGAATTGAGGCCTGCGCTGCATCCATGATTACTTCTGTGAAATGATCGTTGATGTTGTCATCATCTTTATATATTGTTTCCTCACACAATTTTTTGAACTTTTCCCAATCTGCTCTATGGACGCTCAACTTCTTGATTTCCACTCTTGGAGTAACCCGTGTCCTTCCCCCCACAGAACAGAATACAGGGTAATGATCACTCCCAACTGTAGTGTCTTTCCGAACAGTCCACTGACTTATTCCTGCAAGGGCATTCGAAACTAGAGTCAAATCCAATACAGACTCTGTGCCATTTACAATATTGCATCTGGTGCCCCTGCCGTCATTCAAACACACCAAATTGCATTCATCCATCCATTCTTCAATCACAGCACCATTGGGATCTGTATGTGTACCCCCCCACACTGTACTATGGGCATTAAAGTCCCCACACCAAATACTTCTACTGCTATCATAGCCTTCAATTGACCGAATATGCAGTAACTCTAATCTTGCGCAAGGATTGTATAAATTAACTACGACCATCGGTTCCTTCTTGTCCCATACTTCAATAGTTATATACTCCATTTCCTTGCCTTTCCCTAATAGTCTATACGGGATGCCTTGTTTGACAAAAGTCACACATCCCCCCCCTCCACCACGGTCCCTGTCATTCCTTATGACATTATACCCATACAACACATAGTCCAAAGATTCTTTAAGCCACGATTCCTGAATACAAATTATATCCGGTTTAACATTTAGTTCTTTTGCAAAATTCTTAAATTCCTGGCCATTGGCCATCAGACTCCTAGCATTCCATTGAAGGAGAAGCACCATGATTGAAAGAAAAAACATTGTTTCCTGACTTGACTGATGTAGGAGGTTGTCCCTCACTTCTTCCCATGCCAGTCCTGTTAATTCCAGGTGAGTCACTGCTGCCTTAACGATGAGCTGAATCTTCTCATGCTTTGATTTCACATCAGCTGTGGCGTTTATCACTCCCGCAATGAACGTAACTAATGCCAATTTGTCAATCACAATACAGTTTGCGTCAATCTGCGGGGCTCTTTGACCCTGCAGTGCATCCTGTGCCGGTTCAATCTGCACACTTTTCTTCGTTACTCTCACTGCTTCAGCATACGATATCTTCTTCTCCACTCTCATTTTTTGAATATTATTTTCTTGTTTCACTCTCTCACATCCAGCATATGCCACACTGTGACTCCCCCCACAACTGCAGCACTTCGGTTGAACACCGTCTCCGCACTGCCCATATTCATGGTCTCCACCACACCGCGCACACCTCCTCTTTTGTGTGCAATTCTTTGCAAAGTGACCAAATCTTTGACAGTGAAAGCACCTCATTGGTTTTGGAACATATGCTCTCACCGGGTAACACATGAATCCTAAAAACACTTTTCTTGGCACACTCTCTTCCTCAAAATGGATCAATATGCTTTCGCTATCCGTCTTTGTTCCTCCTTTTGTTGTTTTCATCCTATCCACAGAAATCACTTTCCCCCCTTTAATCTTACTTTTTAGATCATCCATTTTCACACTGATGGGAACCCCAGAGATAACACCCTTGCACCCACCTCCTTCCCGTGCACCCACCCTCCCAACATGTTCCACTTTAAACTTTCCAAATTGTTTCAAATTTAGTGCTTTGTTTAGCTGCACTTCATTTGCACATTGCACAAGAAGATTTCCATCTGCCAAGACTTTAGCAGAGACTATATCTCCCACTTTACTGTTCAGTTCAGCTGTCAAAATAAACGGACTTAGTTTTTTCATATTTACTTTAGGTGTAGACAGATCATCTCCACTGCCACAGCTACCCATTCTTTTACGCTTGTCACTTCTCTGCTCACTCACTAGCTCCGACATTTCCACTTCCTCTTCTTCTTGGTCTAAATCAATTAAATCGTCCCAACTGTTCACCGCAGACCCACTCACAGAACAGTCGTGCATACTCGCCGACTCAGATCGATTGTCAATCGGATTAGATTTTGCCGCATTTTTTCGAACAGATTTGCCCGAAGACGCCGACGCCATTCCCCCCGTCACTCAGATGAGACAAGCGGCCCCAAAGTCCAAACCCGGAAGTCTGCAGCGGATAGATCAAGCCCCGGCGATCCAAGATGGCGCCCTATTCAAATGAATGGTTGTGCTCAGTGGCGCTTTGTGACGGCACGGGGGCTGAAAAGATTAGCGGAAGTTGCCTGAAACTCGCAAAGAACTTTGGGAAACTCTCAAAGATCTATGGGAAACTCGCCTGTATTTGGGCATCGTCTGGTCCTCCCGGTTCTGCGCAGTGGATGATCTCCCATAATGCATCGCGTCAAACACGCATGTGTGGGTCTCACACCGGGTCTCACGCACGTGCACAGAGGGGCTCGGCCGCGCTCTGACCAATCAGAGCAGTTCATCAGAGCGGGAGTTAGAGCGAGAGCCAGAGGAGCAGAGTTTGTGGCACTAAAGTGTGGATTTAAACAAAACCGAAGGATTTAAGAAGAAAAAAAGTTCAGGATGACAAGGGACACTAAAATCCCCACAAAATACTATCTTTATTAAAGCTGTAGGTTCTCTGTCAGGTTCTCTGTCAGGTTCTCTGTCAGGTTCTCTGTCAGGTTCTCTGTCAGCTCAGGTCGAGCTGTTTTAATATGCATTGAGTTCCATGGGGAACATTTCTGGGTAGCCCACGTGAATTTAGTCTGGTTCAGTCTGGTTCAGTCTGGTTCAGTCTGCAGTACCGCGAGAATCCCCCGAGCACATGAGTTATTCAGCTACAAGCTGTAATACCCTATCCAGTTAATATAATAGATCCATGGGATAGATCCATGAGCGGCCGAAGCCTGACTTATTTTAGCTGAGTGACGTCACTAATGACGTATGAAGCAGGAAATGGAGTGATTGATTCAGTACTGCAGAGGATCCGCTCAAACTTTGTGGGTTTGTCTCGGTGATTACATTTTTGACTGATTGCACATACTTTAATATACAGCTGGAGGGGTCAGTTGGGAGGGTCGCAGGGCTGGGCGGCACGGTGGCTGAGTGGATAGCACTCTCGCCTCTCAGCAAGAAGGTCCTGGGTTCGAATCCCGGTCGGACCAGGGCCTTTCTGAGTGGAGTTTGCATGTTCTCCCCGTGTCTGCGTAGGTTTCCTCCGGGTACTCCGGTTTCCCCTACCACTAAAAATATGTCCAATAGTTCTGGCATGCGCCTCCTGTACTGGCCCCGCTCCCATCTCTGTGTGGAGAGAGAGACAAATGCCCAAAAATTAACAATTGTAAACCGCTTTGAGACTCAAATCTGTAGTGAAAAGGCGGTATATAAATAAATAAAGATTACTACTACTACTGGGACCTGATTGGCATGGGTTCGAAACTGATAGGGTCACAATCCCAATTTATATCCCCATCCTTTGAAAAACACTTTCAACATATGTCTTTTGTCCTATCGGATTTATTACAGTGATTTTGACTTGACAAGCTATAATCAGTCGTTATTAAACATTATATATATATATATATATATATATATATATATATATATACACACACACATACACGCACATACACACACACACACACACACACACACACATACATATATATACAGACACACATACAAACTGAATTGCACATGTGTTTTTCTCTCCCCTCATGCGTTTATAAAGTGTGTTATATTTAGTCCAGAGTTGTGCGGCTCGATACACTCCTCTATGCGGCACTTTGATCTTTTTTTATCCTGCACACTCGTTTCATTTGGGATGTGCGTGTCCCTCCACCTCTGAGCTATTTTTATCCATATCATTGTCTATTTTAAACGCATGTAATACTGAGGTTCCGCCGCTAGAGGTCAGGGCGGGTCTGCCGCGATAACTGGACATTCTGCACAGAACTGTTTTTAACCAGGATTTGAACAATGTCAGAGTAAGATCAAGATGAAGAGATTCTGTATCGGTCTCACAGTGGGGAAATGTCAGTGTTGCATCACTGGTTACAGAGCAGTAGGAAGCTTCACTCTGTGCTAAATTACAATAGCATCTTAACTTTAGCATAATAAAGCAAGTATATCATTTCTAACTTCAGCATGAAGAAGAAGCCTCTCTCTCTGCTCTCTCTCTGGTCTTTCTATGGTCTCTCTTTCTGGTCTCTCTCTCTCTGGTCTCTCTCTCTCCCCCCCCCCTTCTCTCTCTCTCTCTCTGGTCTCTCTCTCCCCCCCCCCCCCCTCTCTCTCTCTCTCTCGGTCTCTCTCTCCCCCCCCCCCTTCTCTCTCTCTCTCTCTGCTCTCTCTCTGGTCTTTCTATGGTCTCTCTTTCTGGTCTCTCTCTCTCTGGTCTCTCTCTCTCCCCCCCCCTTCTCTCTCTCTCTCTCTGGTCTCTCTCCCCCCCCCCCCCTTCTCTCTCTCTCTCTCTGGTCTCTCTCCCCCCCCCCCCCTTCTCTCTCTCTCTCTCTGGTCTCTCTCTAATCTCTCTCTCTCTGGTCTCTCTCTGGTCTCTCTCTGGTCTTTCTCTGGTCTCTCTCTCTGGTCTCTCTCTGGTCTCTCTCTCTCTCTTTCTCTGCTTATTACTCAAAATGTAAATGGTTTATAAAATCTTGCTGGTCTTGCACAAATATAAAGAATGAAACCCAAAGCTCTCTGTGATATTTTTAATCTCTTATGAATTGGCATCGAAACCCTTTAGTCGCCAAATACACCGAGGCCGAGGCCAAAACTCCAGGACACTCTCTCTGCAGTGGATCCACTTCCCACAAAAGCTCCCAACGTTTTTTAAATATTAGAATTTCTTTTAATTATTTGTTTATTTAAAATCTACGTTCCCTCGTTCACCTCTGGTCCTGAGCTTTGGGTAAAGACTGAAAGGACGAGATCTTGGATACAAGAAGTTCACATTAGTTTCTTCCGGGTGGCTGTCTCTCTCTGGTCTCTCTCTGGTCTCTCTCTGGTCTCTCTCTGGTCTCTCTCTGGTCTCTCTCTGGTCTCTCTCTCTGGTCTCTCTCTGGTCTCTCTCTGGTCTCCCTCTGGTCTCTCTCTGGTCTCTCTCTGGTCTCTCTCTGGTCTCTCTGGTCTCTCTCTGGTCTCTCTCTGGTCTCTCTCTCTGGTCTCTCTCTGGTCTCTCTGGTCTCTCTCTGGTCTCTCTCTGGTCTCTCTCTGGTCTCTCTCTCTGGTCTCTCTCTGGTCTCTCTGGTCTCTCTCTGGTCTCTTTCTGGTCTCTCTCTGGTCTCTCTCTGGTCTCTCTCTGGTCTCTCTCTGGTCTCTCTCTCTGGTCTCTCTTTGGTCTCTCTCTGGTCTCTCTCTGGTCTCTCTCTGGTCTCTCTGGTCTCTCTGTGGTCTCTCTCTGGTCTCTCTCTGGTCTCTGTCTGCTCTATTTGGTCTCTCTGTGGTCTCTCTCTGGTCTCTCTCTGTGGTCTCTCTCTCTGCTCTCTCTGGGCTCTCTCTGGTCTCTCTCTGGTCTCTCTGGTCTCTCTCTGGTCTCTCTCTGGTCTCTCTCTGGTCTCTCTCTGGTCTCTGTCTGCTCTCTCTGGTCTCTCTCTGGTCTCTCTCTGTGGTCTCTCTCTCTCTGCTCTCTCTCTGCTCTCTCTTTCTGGTCTCTCTCTGGTCTCTCTGTGGTCTCTCTCTCTTGTTGCTCTCTGGTCTCTCTCTGGTCTCTCTCTGCTCTCTCTTTCTGGTCTCTCTCTTTAGTCTCTCTCTGGTCTCTCTCTTTAGTCTCTCTCTGGTCTCTCTCTGCTCTCTCTCTGGTCTCTCTCTTGTCTCTCTCTCTGGTCTCTCTCTTCTCTCTCTGGTCTCTCTCTGGTCTCTCTCTCCGGTCTCTCTCTTGTCTCTCTCTGGTCTCTCTCAGGTCTCTCTCTTTAGTCTCTCACTTTAGTCTCCCTCTGGTCTCTCTCTCAGGTCTCTCTCTGGTCCCTCTCTGGTCTCTCTCTCAGGTCTCTTTCTGGTCTCTCTCTCTGGTCTCTCTCTGGTCTCTCTCCAGTCTCTCTCTCAGGTCTCTCTCAGGTCACTGTCTCAGGTCTCTCTCTGGACTCTCTCTGGTCTCTCTCAGGTCTCTCTCAGGTCTCTCTCTCCAGTCTCTCTCTGGTCTCTCTCCAGTCTCTCTCTGGTCTCTCTCAGGTCTCTCTCAGGTCTCTCTCTGGTCTCTCTCTCCAGTCTCTCTCTGGTCTCTCTCCAGTCTCTCTCTCGGGTCTCTCTCTGGTCTCTCTCTCCAGTCTCTCTCTGATGTCCCTCTCTCTCTGGTCTCTCTCCAGTCTCTCTCTCGGTCTCTCTCTGGTCTCTCTCTGGTCTCTCTCTCCAGTCTCTCTCTCTGGTCTCTCTCAGGTCTCTCTCAGGTCTCTCTCTGGTCTCTCTCTCCAGTCTCTCTCTGGTCTCTCTCTGGTCTCTCTCTGGTCTCTCTCTGGTCTCTCTTTGGTCTCTCTCTGGTCTCTCTCTCCAGTCTCTCTCTCTGGTCTCTCTCTGGTCTCTCTCTGGTCTCTCTCAGGTCTCTCTCTCCAGTCTCTCTCTGGTCTCTCTCAGGTCTCTCTCAGGTCTCTCTCTGGTCTCTCTCTGGTCTCTCTTTGGTCTCTCTCTGGTCTCTCTCTCCAGTCTCTCTCTCTGGTCTCTCTCTGGTCTCTCTCAGGTCTCTCTCTCCAGTCTCTCTCTGGTCTCTCTCAGGTCTCTCTCTCTGGTCTCTCTCTGGTCTCTCTCAGGTCTCTCTCTCCAGTCTCTCTCTGGTCTCTCTCAGGTCTCTCTCTCTGGTCTCTCTCCAGTCTCTCTCTGGTCTCTCTCAGGTCTCTCTCTCTGGTCTCTCTCTGGTACCAGCACTAATGAATGTGTCTCATTTACGTCATTGATAGTGACTCTAACCATCTGCCTCTGATGGTCTGATGGTACCATAGACACTAAGGCTCATCCTGACGTGTGACATCACCTGTGTTGCAGAGGCCACGGAGGGGGCGGGGCTTAGAGGGCGGCGGGAGCTGAAGTCCCTGCCCTTCATCAGCTACCTGTGGGAGCTGCAGAGGAGCCAGCTGCTGTCCGACGACCTGGTGACCGGGGTGGACATCAGCTGTGAGGAGAAGGGCAGCTGTCCCCCCGGCTGCCACCTCTGCCACCACCAGGACCTGACCAGCAGAGACACCAGCAGAGACACCAGCAGAGAGACCAGCAGAGGCACCAGCAGAGGCCACAGTGGCAGAGGACACAGCGGAGAGCCGTTCTCCCCCAGCCCTGTGCTCCTGGAGGTCAGCCGAGTGGTCCCTCTGTACAGCCTGGTGCAGGACAACAACACCAGAGAGGTGAGAGACACCATGTGGGCTTCAAACTCAATTACATCACATTTATCTGTGTTTGGACCATAGACTGTAAATATTAACAGACGTAGTCACTCCTATCTCCGCCGTTCTGACTAATGTGCCACAACTGCCCGCGGTCTATGGCAGTTTCAAAATGGCCACGGGGGCTGGAAAATGTGAAAAAACACAACTGCACGAGCTCCATTCATTTAAACGAATGACTTCAAAAGTCCACCGCGACTAAACTAGACTGGTCCAGAACACTCCCTCAGCATTGACACACATGTGGAATGGAGCTTTGGGCCAAGAGACAACTTTGGATCATCCTGTAAAGACGTTTTCCAGAGGTAAGGGGATGCTATATGTTAGCATTGGCTAATTCTTATTCCGGGTCCACCCCCATCGAAGTGCAGCATGTCCAGGATCATCACTGTCCTTAGAGCCTCCTGCATCAGAGAGTGAGACAAGTGAGAAACCTCCACTGAGAGAGAGAGCCGCTCCCACAGACAGACTGTAGATCCAGGACTCAGACTCAATCTAAAGAAATCTCTTCAAATAGTATTCGTTAAAATCCCTGAATAAAAACATATTATATTATCTTCTTGAATCTGAAAGTGAAACAAATATAACTGAGATTAAAGTTTTATGTTAATGTCTAAAACAATAGTTAAACATGCATTAGGATTCCCAGTCCTGCATGTATAGACTGGAGTGCAGTTCTCCTCAGTGGCCTGTAGGTGGCACCAGTCAGTTAACTTTCTCCTGATCTAATGCACGCTGTAATACTGGGGGCTATATAAAAGATGACATCATAGTTCTCTCTCTTTGTGAGGAAGTGTGTGTGTGTGTGTGTGTGTGTGTGTGTGTGTGTGTGTGTGTGTGTGTGTGTGTGTGTGTGTGTGTGTGTGTGTGTGTGTGTGTGTGTGTGTGCCGTATACAGTATGCATGTGTGTTGTATGTTCGATTTTCGCACAAAAGACAGCGTAGGCACAAAAAGTTAATCCAATCAAATTGCTTATGTAAGTAGATTTCTCTTTTGCTTCACTTTCCATCCACTGCCCCCAACACCGAGCCCACACCGAGCCCACACCGAGCCCACACCGAGCCCACACCGAGCCCTCATCGAGCCCTCACCTAGCTTAAACACACACGTAGCATGCATCTTTGTGTGTGCGACCCATGACAGAAGTGTGACCCGCCTGGTCCCGGCTCCACGCCACACAGCCTCTAATGAAAGAACCATGTGAGGTGCAACCATGTGGGGCATACATATTCATGCGCTCACAGACGTTCCAAAGCCTCCGGTCTACGTGACGTCCATAACAAGCGTTTTGGCCCCAAAGAAAGAGGCATAATCGATCTCAGACGCTCCCTGGCGGCCTCATCAATATCGCTAAACATGAGGAACAGCCCAATGACTTTTCTCCTCTGCTTCCTCCTCGCACGCCCTTTAGCAAAACCAGTGTCTTATGGGGGAGAGTGGGGGAGTGTGGGGGGGAGGTGGGGGGTGGGGGGTGAGGGGGGGGAAGGCCCAGACTGCGGAGGATGTCTTTGGCCCGGCCCTCTGAGGTAGCTCCAGGCAGGATTATTAGCTTCTTATTGATGTCATCGACCTCTTGGGAGGGAGGGGAGTCCATCACTCTCTCTCTCTGACTCTGTCTCTCTCTCTGTCTCTCTCTCTGTCTCTCTCTCTCTGACTCTGTCGCTCTCTCTCTGACTCTCTCTCTCTCTGTCGCTCTCTCTCTGACTCTCTCTCTGTCGCTCTCTCTCTGACTCTCTCTCTCTGTCGCTCTCTCTCTGACTCTCTCTCTCTGTCGCTCTCTCTCTGACTCTCTCTCTCTGTCGCTCTCTCTCTGACTCTCTCTCTCTGTCGCTCTCTCTCTGACTCTCTCTCTCTCTCTGTTGCTCTCTCTCTGACTCTGTCGCTCTCTCTCTGACTCTCTCTCTCTCTGTCGCTCTCTCTCTGACTCTCTCTCTCTGTCGCTCTCTCTCTCTCTGTCGCTTTCTCTCTGACTCTCTCTCTCTCTGTCGCTCTCTCTCTGACTCTCTCTCTCTCTGTCGCTCTCTCTCTGACTCTCTCTCTCTGTCGCTCTCTCTCTCTGTCGCTCTCTCTCTGACTCTCTCTCTCTGTCGCTCTCTCTCTGACTCTCTCTCTCTCTGTCGCTCTCTCTCTGACTCTCTCTCTCTCTCGCTCTCTCTCTGACTCTCTCTCTCTCTCTGACTCTCTCACTCTCTCTCTGTCTCTCTCTCTGACTCTCTCTCTGTCTCTCTCTCTCTCTCTCTGACTCTCTCTCGCTCTCTCTCTGTCTCTCTCTCTCTGACTCTGTCGCTCTCTCTCTGACTCTCTCTCTCTCTCTGTCGCTCTCTCTCTGACTCTCTCTCTCTCTGTCGCTCTCTCTCTCTCTGTCGCTCTCTCTCTGACTCTCTCTCTCTCTGTCGCTCTCTCTCTGACTCTCTCTCTCTCTGTCGCTCTCTCTATGACTCTCTCTCTCTCTCTCTGACTCTCTCTCGCTCTCTCTCTGTCTTTCTCTCTAACTCTCTCTCTGTCTCTCTCTCTCTCTCTCTGACTCTCTCTCGCTCTCTCTCTGTCTCTCTCTCTCTCTCTCTCTCACTCTCTCTCTGTCGCTCTCTCTCTCTCTCTCTCTCTCTCTCTCTGACTCACTCTCTCTCTCTGTCGCTCTCTCTCTGACTCTCTCTCTCTCTGTCTCTCTCTCTCTCTCTGACTCTCTCTCTCTGTCGCTCTCTCTCTGACTCTCTCTCTCCTCATGCCCATGGTCGTAGCTGTGTTTCTGAATACAAAATAATTACTGTATATACAAAGATTATTGTCATACACAAGGCAACAATCCCTGTGCTCCTCAGACCCAGCAGGAGGCCAGTCCCTGTGCTCCTCAGAGTCCCAGCAGGAGGCCAGTCCCTGTGCTCCTCAGAGTCCCAGCAGGAGGCCAGTCCCTGTGCTCCTCAGAGTCCCAGCAGGAGGCCAGTCCCTGTGCTCCTCAGAGTCCCAGCAGGAGGCCAGTCCCTGTGCTCCTCAGAGTCCCAGCAGGAGGCTAGTCCCTGTGCTCCTCAGAGTCCCAGCAGGAGTCCAGTCCCTCTGCTCCTCAGAGTCCCAGCAGGAGGCCAGTCCCTGTGCTCCTCAGAGTCCCAGCAGGAGTCCAGTCCCTGTGCTCCTCAGAGTCCCAGCAGGAGGCCAGTCCCTGTGCTCCTCAGAGTCCCAGCAGGAGTCCAGTCCCTCTGCTTCTCAGAGTCCCAGCAGGAGTCCAGTCCCTGTGCTCCTCAGAGTCCCAGCAGGAGTCCAGTCCCTGTGCTCCTCAGTCCCAGCAGGAGGCCAGTCCCTGTGCTCCTCCGTCCCAGCAGGAGTCCAGTCCCTGTGCTCCTCAGAGTCCCAGCAGGAGTCCAGTCCCTGTGCTCCTCAGTCCCAGCAGGAGGCCAGTCCCTGTGCTCCTCAGTCCCAGCAGGAGTCCAGTCCCTGTGCTCCTCAGTCCCAGCAGGAGGCCGGTCCCTGTGCTCCTCAGTCCCAGCAGGAGGCCAGTCCCTGTGCTCCTCAGAGTCCCAGCAGGAGTCCAGTCCCTGTGCTCCTCAGAGTCCAGCAGGATTCCAGTCCCTGTGCTCCTCAGAGTCCCAGCAGGAGGCTAGTCCCTGTGCTCCTCAGAGTCCCAGCAGGAGGCCAGTCCCTGTGCTCCTCAGAGTCCCAGCAGGAGGCCAGTCCCTCTGCTCCTCAGAGTCCCAGCAGGAGTCCAGTCCCTGTGCTCCTCAGAGTCCCAGCAGGAGGCCAGTCCCTGTGCTCCTCAGTCCCAGCAGGAGTCCAGTCCCTGTGCTCCTCAGTCCCAGCAGGAGTCCAGTCCCTGTGCTCCTCAGTCCCAGCAGGAGGCTGGTGACTCCTTCACAGTTGCTTCAGTGTTGAGTCTGAGGTCATGGTCTGTAGTTTGTCAGATCTCCCAGACAGAGACACCAGGAGCAGCCTCAGCAGAAGGTTCTTTTAAAGAAGCACTGCTTTATCACCACATCATTCTGTCATTCACAAAGCTGTCCATTCACCAACACAGATCAGAGAATCAGAGGCTGTAGACCCAGAACTGAGGCTGTAGACCCAGAACTGAGGCTGTAGACCCAGGACTGAGGCTGTAGACCCAGAACTGAAGCTGTAGACCCAGGACTGAGGCTGTAGACCCAGGACTGAGGCTGTGGACCCAGGACTGAGGCTGTAGACCCAGGACTGAGGCTGTAGACCCAGGACTGAGGCTGTAGACCCAGGACTGAGGCTTTAGACCCAGGACTGAGGCTTTAGACCCAGGACTGAGGCTGTAGACCCAGAACTGAGGCTGTAGACCCAGGACTGAGGCTGTAGACCCAGGACTGAGGCTGTAGACCCAGGACTGAGGCTGTAGACCCAGGACTGAGGCTGTAGACCCGGGACTGAGGCTGTAGACCCAGGACTGAGGCTGTAGAACGAGGACCAATGAACCATATAGAAATGTAGCTAGCCTGACCCATTCCACTCTTTGACTCCATGGTTATAGAATGGTTAGCGTGTGCTTTAGTCTGGGTTGTATGTCTGTGTGTGTATCTATGTGTGTATCTGTGTGTGTATCTATGTGTGTATCTGTGTTTGATGACCGGCCTCAGGAAGTCCAGCTGATCGCTCTCATGCTCTCAGAGAATGGGATCCATATAAATAAACTTCATAAATACACTAATAAACAAACAGAAACAGAGCAGTCTGAGAGAATGCTCATCAATGACATCACCCTTATTGATTTTCTGCTGCTGTGTGTGTGTGTGTCTGTGTGTGTGTGTGTGTGTGTGTGTGTGTGTGTTGTGTTTGTGTGTCTGTGTGTGTGTGTGTGTCTGTGTATGTCTGTGTGTGTGTGTGTGTGTGTGTCTGTGTGTGTGTGTGTGTGTGTGTGTGTGTGTGTGTGTGTGTGTGTGTGTCTGTGTGTGTCTGTGTGTGTGTGTCTGTGTGTGTGTGTTTGTGTTTGTGTGCGTGTGTGCGTCTGTGAGCC